CCATTTGGCCGACCGGTGTGGGACAATCAAGTGGCAAGAAAGGTGACAAAAAGGTGACACATAATTTAAAGAAGCAAAGCTGCATGAAAGCTGTTGGTAGCTACAGTCCAGCTCGGCAGATCAATCCCCACCAACAACGGACTGTGGCCTGGCAATGTGCACAAAAAAAGGCTATTCCACAGACATACCATATAGGTATATAAAACAAAACACGCAACACTGCTCACCTACAGTCTTTAAAAATGAACAACAATGTAAATTTGTCAACCCACCACATGTCTCACTTATGAATTCTCTGTACATTTCTTTTAGAGTCTGTGTGTAACACACACTATGTAGACACTTTTAAAACACTTCAAAGAATCTGAATTTTTCAGGTATGTAATGTACTTAGAGGAGAAAAGATATTCAGATTTATTGTGCCAGGAAGAGCTTGTGCTCTGTGCTGCAAAGAACACTTTGTGCCAGTGAGAATTCAGTTAAGTGTATTACTGAAACTTAAAGCCCTTTGTAGAGGCCAAGTGTATAGTATGAGCTGGAAGAAAATAGGGTATCTGCTTGACTTAAAAGTTATTTTTAACATTCGGCGTTATGTGTATCTGTGAATGTGTGTGCATGTCCACTGAGAGTTAACACGCTCCAGCTGTTAGGATCCAGTTGCTCAGACTTGTTGAGGACCCTGGCTCCCACTAGTGCAGCACACAGGCCCAGAGGTGGTGAGACATACAGCAACTTAACAGAGGAAGCTAGGGACAGAAACGGATAGCGATGGAAAGACAAAGAACGACAGATCACAGGGCTAAACCCTGCGCAGCTGCGCTTGTTCTTCAGGGAACCCAGCCGGGGAAGCAGCGCTCAAGCGCTTAATTCCACAAATATGTGCAGTCATGCAATGTGCAAGGTGGGGGCAAGGGAGGGAGTGAGGGGAGAGATAGCTGCAGAATCAATCTTGCAACTTCCACAGCTATGGCTTAGATTGGGGACCAGCTTGCCTGGGCCTCAGTGGCTGGCCTCTGGCCACTGGCAACTGGGCAGCATGCAGAGGGCGATGCAGAGACGGCCTGAGAGACTGAAAGTGATGATGCCCACCACCCTGATCAACTACAGTCTGCTAGGAGGTCTTTCAGCACGCCAGCACAAAGCAAGAGATGCACACTGAGCTGAAGGTGTAGGTACATGTAAGTATTGAGAATGGGAGTTGATGTCTATATGGATGACTGACTTGGTGTGGGGTGGGGGGCTCAGGTGGTCCAAGTGAGGGAAAAGGACAAGTCTGAAGGTAGTAAGTAATGCTGTAAATACTGCAACTAAAATCCAACTCTATTCTACGTCTAGTTCTTAGTATTTCTAGTAAGTTTTATTGCTTTTAATGACAAGTTTGCTGCTCTAATTCAATTTTAGACCGACAGAAGGGTAGAAAGAATATTCTTCAAGCACTTAGAAAGCATAGAAAAGCAAAACAAAACAAAAAATCAGACAACCATTTCACCCATTTCAATAGTGTGGGGTGTCTCTACATGAAGAACAGTAGGTCAAACTTCACATGACCATTGCCAGCAGGGGGAGCAGGTGTACTGCAGTCGACTGCTGGAATGTCAGCCCTTCACTTAGAAGAATAACTTTTCTGATAGGAGCCTGTCTTATTTGTGGATCTGGCCACAACGCAGCCACTAACTGGCTCGTATACTGTTATTGTGCTATTGCCTTCTACTCATAGACACAAAACATAGACTGAGCAGAATATTAAGCAAATTATGTAACATGAGATGTATTCAACTAAAGAAAGGATTACCAGTTTAAAGGAATAATAAATCTTGAGCTAAACTGTAATTTGGCCCTGCCAGAACTGCAGTAAGCATGTACGTTTTGTATAACTGAGGCTTAATTTGACAACAGTGGATGGCCAGAAAACACCTTACCTGATGTTGCCTTGACAGAGTGCTTTTGTAAAAAGTCCAGGCTCTGAGCCAAAGCCTTCTTGTTGCAATGAGTCGAGAGCTCTTCACTGCATTCGAAACACCTGTCACAAAGAGAGAGGTTAATAAGACCAGGTTCATTTTACTTTAGAAACGAATAAGACAGTATTTAACATCAGAATTACTTGGCTAGAGTGGAAAGCAGTTTAGAAATCATGATTAGGGATGGGAATTGATAAAAATTAATCAGTGGTGGGGTCATTACTCAAAGATATATTACACATATTACACAGAACACCTTTCTCAAAGTGTTCTTCTACTTAATTACACCCAGGTGAAAGGCATTTGTTAAACTACTCATTACGTTACTTTCATGTTACTCTGTAAAATGAGCTGAAACGCAACGTCTCATAATTACCATTTAACTACATAAACCTACAGGCTACAGCCCCACACACCAGCACAAATCCCTATCCTAATAAGAACACACGTGATCTTTCTCTTAGTATTGATGTATGAACACAAATCAAAGATGAAAACCAGCAAAGAGACTTTAAACTGATCGTCACAGTGATTTTACTGTAGAAACATGAACAGGTAGACACGGAGGCTGCAGCCTGACCGCTCAGGCTCTGTTACCTGTTGAATTTAAGCAGCGGCTTCACCGCGAATAACTGCTTACTTTATCACGGTGCTGTTCTGGTGTCAGCATTTACTCAGCTTTAACATCCCATCTAGCTTAGCACAGTGTCTGTGAAAGTGCTTGTAAAGAGCCGAAGTTGTGTTAACAATATAATGCAGTTGTTTCTGTCTTGGTGCAGTCTCCACTTCATTATCGTGCTCTCATCCTTTTATGCAATAAAAATAAAAGTAACGTCCATATCCATGCTGTAAACTGTGACACTTTTTTCCTCCCCTGACACACAAACTGAAATCAGCTGATTGCAGCAAGAGCTCAAGATCTGATAAGCAGGATCGATAAGCAGGCAGACTAATGATTCCAAGGAATTGGACTACTGGGAGCTGGTTCTCGATTCCCATTCCTAATTATAATGGAGAAAAACAAATTTTATTTTATTATTTATGAGCCTAAAATGATGTAAAATAATTTACATATAAACAAACTGGTCTTAGAATTGTGGTAGCCAGGATGAAAAGACTGCAGGTGCCTGTTGTTTTCTATTTGAGCTCACATGCTGGCAGCATTCTAACACATGCCATCGCAAGGTGACAAACAGGGCACCATTGTGTGCAGCCTTGGCTTCTTTTCATGACAGTTCACAATTAACTTCCTGGGTTTCTCACCAGGCCTTCCATGTGCTCAAACTGATGGTGATGCAGTGTGACTCAGGGTGGAAAGCCTGTTGATGCTTCACAACATGCTGGATCCCTGACTGGTTACAGCCCTGTAAAAACAGAAATCTTTGTTGGCAACCATAAAATACACTCTGGGCTCACAACATTTAAGGTGCAACAAATCTTCAAGAGCACAGTAGGGTGAAAATCTTTATTCAGGGTCATGTTTAGACTTCCTCTTTTCTTGAAAGTTCCAACAGGCCTAACCACTTCATTATGGACATTTTCTTAATGCTTCACTAGCCGCGTACCCTAACCAACAAAACTGAATGCCTAACCCCAAGCCCAAACCTAACCATGACCTAATTGTAACCCTGAAACTAAAACCACATTTTAAGTCTCAAAAATGCCTTCAACCTCAAGGGGAGGGGCATTAACTGAGCATCAGAATGAAGAAGAATGATGATATAAGCGACTTTGGGCGTAGCTTGGCTGTTGGTGGTAGATGGGCTGAGTATTTTAGAAACTGCTGATCTATGATTTTCCCCACAAAGCCAAGGCAACAGTAACTCAAATAACCACTTGTTACAACAAAGGAATGCAGAAGAGCATCTCTGAACATAGAACACATCAAACCTCGAAGCAGCTGCGTTACAGCAGCAGAAGACTGTGTCTGCAGAAAAATGATGCCACAATTTACACGGGCTCACCAAAATTGAAAAACAACAAAAAAGTAAATAAATAATTTAAAAACAAATTGGTTTCTTGAGCATGACAATGAGTTCATTGTATTCAAATGGCCTCTACAGTTACCAGATCTAGATGCAACAGAGCAGGGCAGAATGTAAAATTAGCATTGTGGACATGCAAGCAGCAATTGATACTATCAAATCAACAACGACTAAAGTTTCCAAGTAATGTTTCCAGCACCTTGTTGAACCTATACTGTGGAGAATTATGGCAGTCCTAGAGGCAAAATGCAGTCCAACCCGGCACTATTAAGGCACGTTTAATAAAGTGTCCAGTGAGTGTACACATGAAAGTAAAGAAACAGTCAAGTTCATACACAAATAAGAATTAAAGAAACTTAAATATGATAATGACATTCTTACTCTGTTGTTTATTTCAATTTAGTTTAAACTCTGCTGCATCACATTTTGCTTTATTTACCATTTTTAAAAAAAACTTACCTGAAAACCACACTTTAGACACACCAGAATGTCCTGAGAGGCTGCTGGCTCGCCATCAATCATTGTCCTTTCCTTTAGGCACTCTGAGCATACCGACCACACACTCGAGAGGACTGATTTCTTTACTGAGTTCAGGTCCACTGCTCTACTCACATGCTGGCAAGTCAGTCCTGTTAACAGACAAGGTGTCTTGTAAGCAAGGATCCTTTTAATTGAAGATGAATTGCACTGATCCCATAAGAATAATGAATGAAACCTCACAGACTTTTCAACATTGACAAAAATACCCAAGAATAGTCTATAGGACTCTACCAAGTCAAAATTCACAGCCTTAACCGTAACAGTCCGGTGCCATGTACTGTTACGGTGACTTACCGCTGACTTCATCTGATGATTCCTCATCTCGAGGTTTTCTTGGTTTATTAGTCCGCTTAGTCATGTCGGCGGCTTTCAAGGAGAAGGGGTCCTTCAGCCGCATCTGGTGCTCTGAAAGCAAGAAGGGACAACACTGGTTTAGTTTTACACATTTAGGACACCCACCCATAATTTTGTTTATCCAGGTACTACACAACTGCTATTATTATTTTCTTCAAACAGAATGAGGTACTTTCAAAATAGCAAAAAAAAACAAACAAAAACCCTACAGTTTAGATCAGGCATTGTTAAATGCACACACACACACACACACACACACACACATTTATTGTGTTGTCATTGTACTACAGCACAGTCCTACAGAAATGTGCCAAATCAAAACTTTATGACAGCATGTGTTTACATTCAGATAGCTATGCATACATTGAATCGTCAAGCACTACTTTGCTTCCAACAATATTGAAAAAAAATTATATTAGGATAGAATAACTAATTATGTTTGCACAATTACACTCTTGCTTTCTCATATTTTATATATATTCAGTAAACTACTTTTCATTAAAGCAGCTGTTTTTCCCCTCCTTCATTTAAAAGCCCAAGCCAACGCTCTGACTCAACGAAATCCACTTTCAAGACAACAGCACTAAAACAACAACAACAACAACAAAAATTAATTATTTTTTTTTGCCATACCAGAATAGCCTCTGCTGAAGATTATTTAAATAATTAAACGGTAAATGCAATAGGTGGTTTGGCTGTTATAAGTTGGTGTGTTTGACGCTACTCTCAAGCTGGTGTGTTCGGGACGATTAAATCAGGTGACTGATTTAACCAATCAAAAACTTTCCACTGCTTGTAGGTTTAAGCTGATTTTCCTGGTGGACTCCTTTTGAAAGAATTTTTACACCCTTTGCCTAACATGCTACTGACCTAAACGTTTTCTAAACTGCAAGAAATCTGGAAGCGAACGGTCACAATACCTACGGCTACATGATATGCCACTGCTAAATAAAGGCAGTAGGAGAAAATGAGAGTTTTTAAGACAGATAAGTCTATTAATGGACAACACCATGATTAAGAGGCCTTAACAACCCCGGCAGCCCGGTTTGGGTGAGAATAAGAGGCTCCTAACCCATTTATTAAGGAAATTTTCAAAATTAATTTATCTTTTTCATACTAGATTTAGCGAAAATGGAATATGTATTAACTCACCTCTTAAAGTTAGCTCCTATGTTGACTTTGTCAGCTAATATGAAGCCAACACTGAGATGTCAGCTCTTCCTGGGTTGCAAAAAAAGGCCAGCTACATTAGCTTGGTAGGATAAAAACTGAACTGGTGTGTTTTATCCAAAATTACACGCAGACATTATGGCTATTCAAAGAAAAAACGCGCAATACCGTCAACAGTTATCTCAATATATTTTTGTTTCCACCCTTGACTTTTAAAACATGTGTCAAGCTTTCGTTAGCATTTACAGGCAGCACTAGTTACATGTGACGCACTACGGCAGCTCAGGTTGGCCCAATGCTGCATTCAAGTTGAGTGGGAAAATCTCTTTTTTTACTAGAGGTAAATAAAAGCTTGTTTCCCATCTTTACGCGTTTCCCAGTTTCCCATGGCGGCGAATGCAACATAAATAATGTTTTTTGTTTTGACTTGATGCACTTGTTTGATCTAATTAGGGGACATGATGCTAATTTGTGTTGATAAATAATATGTCAATAGTTTGACATATTACTTCTGGGGAAAGAATTTTGGCCCATTAGGATATCCGTACATCTGCGCAAGCGCAGATAATTGTCGGCATTGTGACTTTTTCAGTTGTCCCACACAGATACCGCTTAAGTGAGGGTTTGTGTTGAAGAGCAGTGATAATTTAGAGTGCCGTATCTGGCTTTGATAATCACACATGGCCTTGAGAAGTTGTTGGAGACTTGCCGGTGTTGTCCCACGGCTTTTATGGAATAATACCGTCCAGTTTGAAGCTTGCGTCACGGGAGGACAAGGCTCTGTGTCCAGCAGTGTCAGCACTCGCGGACACAAAAGGTTACAAAAGTGAGGTTTAACATGAGCGACTCACTGTCATGTTTTGAAGGAGCTCATATACTGCATTAAGTATATTGTCTGTCTTGTTTTTAAACGCAGAGTTGCTGTTCCGCACATTCAGTTCAACGCCAGCGAGCACAGTCGTGAGTTATGAGCAGCTGAAGGAGCTCCTGGTTGGGCGGAAAGCGGTAGTTATAGATGTGCGAGAGCCCTGGGAGCTCCGAGAATACGGCTTCATCCCCGGCTCCATTAACGTCCCCCGTGAGTACTGCTCTCTCTACCTGCAACATTGTTGTCCGGCTGGGCTGCCAGGGCTGTAGACTTGTATACTAGTGTAGTATACTGCAGTTTGTGTGGGTTGGGGGTAAATAACAATTCGTAAATGTCCAAAATGAACCAAACTTTTACACAGTTTTTATATTGTTCATAAAACAAACATCTGAAGGTGTGCTTTGTCCCCTTGACTTTATAATGGCAAGTTTAATTAGGTTTGAAATGTGCTCAATTTGACATACAATTCTAAATGGAGTAAAATGCAAGCAATATGGCACATATTATATGGTACGAAGGGGGGCATTATTCTAAAATATTACTACAATGCTTTCAACCAACTGTTCTCCAGAGCACCAAACCCATCATACTTCCTTAACCTTTGTGTTTTTTGACTTTACAGTGGCGCAAGTGAACACTGCACTCCAGCTGGGTCCAGAAGACTTCAAAGAAAAGTATGGTGGTGAATTACCCCACCAGACAGATAACGTTGTGTTTACTTGTTTGGCGGGAATCAGGAGCAAGACTGCGCTGAACACGGCCATCACACTGGGATACAAAGAGTGAGATATCTGTCCTTGGCTTATGTCTGTCACCATCACTGGTTTCCACCTCGTCGTTATATTTCTTACTAGAGTTGGCCATTTTCAGTCACGAGAAAAGTTATCAGTATTGTGGTTAAACTTAGACTTTTATAGTTACCATGAGACAGCATTTACTATAGTTGAGGTTATTGCCTTGTAGTTGCACAATGCTGTTCCTCCTTGGAAGGATACCACATGTCCCACATCACATTTTCTATGTCTATCTGTCAAGTATTAAAACGCTGTGATTGTCTGGTGATGGTAAAGTCAGATACAAATGCATGATTTTGTTTAAGTCTTAAATTATGAAAAGTCTGTGATTTCGTCAAAGCAAATGTTCACTTTTTTTCTCTTTTTTGTCTTGTTTCAGTGTTCGGCATTATTCTGGAGGATGGCAAGACTGGGTGAAGCATGAGCAGCATAATCAGTGATCATGGAGCTGGAAAGATATTTATATATTTATTTGAAGGTATTTTTGCAATTATTCGAGTTTAGAATGTGAAGTGATGGCGCAGCCTTGTAAAGGGCTTAAAAAAATCATCATGGCTCCTTATTTCAATGTTAAAATCTCAAAGAGGTGAAACCAGTTTGCTTAAATACACATCTGCCATACAATATTACTTGAAACCCCTCTTTAATTTCTCTCAGGCTTAACCTCCTTCTAAACCCTTTACAGCTTTTTGAAAAAAAGCTCAAAGAATATTCTGAAGTGCTAAAGATTAACTATGCAAATAAAGTCTTCCACTCCATAATGTGAACTATTTTATTATTTCCTGTTGACATATTATAAATATTAAATTGCTCAACAGGCAGTGCAGACTTTGCCAATACTTAATGCATTTATTAATAAATGTACTATTTAATAAAGTTATCAAAGCTAAATAAACTAATATTTAACTTGAGTCTGTGTGTGTTTATTATTATTATTTTTATTATTTATATATTGGGCAGGATTAGTAGATGACCTAAGAGGACATTCGTTTAAATAATTCCAGATATAAATAGGCATAGAGAGGCTTGCCGGGGTGACAGCTGCTGGGGAAGTACTACGATTTACTGTATTCAAGGTCCTTGTCTAATATCCTGTATGAATTTGTCACCAACTCTCCACAGGTTCCTTCATCATCCGTGATAATAAATGGGTTTGTTTTCAGCAGGGAAGAATGTTTCCACTACAGTTTGCTGACCACAGCCATGGACCTTGTTCCCTATTCTTTCTTTTACAGCTTGAGCTGAAAGTCCCTGCAGAATCAGCAAATTTTAATCTCACCGTCTTGTTTAATTTGGACAATATTGTTTTAAGTTACTTTAGTTTATCCTAAAATTCAGCTTAATCATTGTGAGTGACAGGAAACTGGCCTCTAGGTGACTTTTCAGATGCGTGAGTAAATTATCTAGAAGTGTTTATTGGTTTACTTTGGGGACATAATTAATAGCTTTAAAACATACCTGACATTGTTGTATCACCTCAGCACTTTACAGGGATTTTTGTTTCTTTTATATTTGAGCTTGATGTTGACAGGAATGACTTGTATATAAAAATAAACTGTTTTTGAGAATCAGAAGTTTTTGTGATGCAATAATATATTTACTTAAGATTTACATCTGTATCTATATAAATATTTAATTTTGATTGTATTAAGAGAGTTTCACCTCTCTGATACAGTTTTTAAATAAATAAGAAAATATTTATGAATTTTTACAAAATACATATGAAAAAATAGTTTTATGAACACGTAAACATATTTAATACCATATATTGATGCATATATATTGTATGAGCAGTTCCATGGGTAAATTTGTCAAGAATTTGTGAAAAATTCTATTAATTGACAGCAAAGCTTTGCATGGTATTCAAGACAGAATAATCTTTTCACAAAGTTGTCAAAAATGAAGTTTTCACAGGACTTAATAGCTCTGTGAAAAACTATGTACATCCATATGGTTACTGGTAATTGGTACTTTTATGCAATGCACTTGATCAAATGATCATCAGAATGTGTGAACATCTCCATAAAAAGAGAAGTTTTGGCAGTTTGCTGGTCTGGAGCATTCAATACCACAAGCTTTCCAGGAGTGGACATCCTAGCAAATCCCCACCTCAAGGTCAGACTGCGCTCAAAAACTGTAAAAAACCCAAGGGTAACATCTCAGACTCTACAGGCTCAGTTAGCATGTTAAAGTTCATGACAGTTAGAAAAACACGGAACAAGTATGACTTGCTTGCAGTGGTTGCCAGGAGAAGGATAACATGGAAGATTAGGTTTACAAAGTTACATCTGAAGAAACCACAAGATTTCTAGAACAATGTCCATTGAACAGATAACACCAAAATGGAGATGTTTGGCTATAATGATCCGTGCTACATTTTGTAAAAACTAAACACAATATATCAACACAAACACCTCAAACATGCTGCCAGCACGGTGGTGGATGGGTGATGATCTGGGCTTGTTTTGCAGATACAGGACCTGGGTACCTTACAGTCACTCAGTGGACAATGAACTCTGTATACCAAAGTACTGTAGAGTCAAATGTAAGGCCATCTGTTTGACATTTGAGGGACTGATAATGTCATACAGAAAACCACTACCTCGAGATACTCCATCTAGTAAAGGAGTATCTTAAGGTAGTCTTAACTTTATTTATTGACTAAATTTATTATTAAATAATACATTTATTCAATCAGTTTGCTGAACATTCTCTGCTGCCACAAGGGTCTCTTTCATAGCAAATGCCACCACCCTCTAAATATAATATAATTATCTGGTAGAGCTATTTGTCATTTAACACCAATAATAATAATGATAATAACAAAGCATTTTTAGTTCAATATTATCATCCATTTTAATAAGTAATAATTAAATATTTAAATGAGTATCAGGCAAAAAAAAAAGTTATAATACCACATAATACCACACAATGATGTATAAGAGTTTGTGGTCTTAGTAAATGAAGTGAGGTTTTATAAATACTGTAACAGAAAGCATCATCATAGTGAACAACGGTTGGTGGAACATGAAACAAGCAGCTTAGTAGAGAGATGACTATTCACATGACTGAAATATTCCAGCTCTTCCCAAAAGTCCCATGCGGCTGCAAGATGTGAGGTCAGTAGGAGAGAATAGATGCTCACTTAATCCATCACGGCAGGTTTTCACATGGAACTGTGAATAAATCATCTCATAAGTTGGATTTTAATGTTCTAAGCGGACTAAACCAACATCGGCTTTATGCATATTTTGAGTTTTTTTGTGGTTTACCATGTAGCTGTGGTACCTTCTTTTTTATAATTGAGCTCATTGTAATATCGTCCAACCCCTGCCCATGTGATTCTGTAGGTGTCAGTGTAAACCATGAGCAGGGCTGACTGGCATTTATGCCCTTTTATTACTGTGTCATGTCATCCGTAAACTCCAGACTGTAATCTCCCCCCTCCTTTTCTTCCGCTTCCTCATTTTCCCGCTGAAGCAGTTAATTCCATTTTCTTTTTTCTGCATACTCCAGTTTTAATATGTTGAAAACAGAGCAGACTAATAAGTACTAATTTACGTCAAAATCTTGCCAGCTCTCTTTTGTTCCTCTGCAGCCACAGCCTCATCAGGTCACCCTCTAGCTTCTGCTCAGCATTCAATTAAAGTCCCTCGTCCCATCAGAGCACATCACATCAGAGATGCACCTACTGGCTGCAATGACTTACCGGACCCTGCCTCATTGCCTGCCTGCCTGTCTCCCTGCTTGTCCTCTGATGCCGGACATTAAGGTGGTGGATGTGTTGTAACCCAGGCAAAAACCCATTATGATTTGAATAAAATAAGGAGTCTGAGAGACTTGTGCCCACAGCCAGGATCCCAGCCCATTTCTGCTTCTCACAAGCTGCTGATACATATCTGAGAGGCAGGTCAAGCCTGCTTTAGTACGGAGGTTCAAGATTCCGCATGCGTCGGCTCATGACCTGGGCTGTTTTGAACAGAGCAGGAGCATGACTGTCAATGGGGAGTATAAAACCTCAGACTGTGCTGACAACCAGAGAGTGCAACAAAGGAAGGTTCAGGAGCAGTAAAGTGCAGCAAACCACTGACTATTTCCCTTCACAGAACCAAAGCCACATAGAAACCGCTGCCATGAGCTTCAGCCCAGAGAGGATCTCGTCCTACCGCCGTCACTTTGAGGACAGCAGCAGCTCGTCCTACCAGATCAGGGTGTCGAGCCCATCCCCCACCAGGAGAGAGGCCCGTCGTGCCTCCGCCGGCTGCTTCTCCTCTAGAGCCGGGGCCAGCAGCATGCGTGTGGACTCAGTGGGACGAAGGACCATGTCTGCAGCACGCAGGTCTCGCATGGTAGGAGCAGGGTAAGCCATTGGATTTTTGTTTTACAGGCGAAGCCGTGAAAATAAATTCTTCTTCTACAGGCTCTCTTTAGGAATAATTTTAATCACTTAAAGGAACATATTTTGGTGCCTGTGGCTGTAGGTTAACTTGTATCAGTCATTTCAGTGTGAGTGCAGGCACCATGGTGTGCGTTGGGCCGAGTGGAGAGCCTCCCATAGACCTGGATGTGGCTGCAGCTGAAAACCAGGAATTCCTCAGCACCCGCACAAGCGAAAGACAGGAGATGATCGTCCTCAACGACAGACTGGCCGTATACATCGACAAGGTAAAACTCCCTTTTTCAACTCGATTTTACTTATTTTGATAGGCACAGCGAAAAGCAGATATCACACTGAACTCAAACATGTTGCACAGAAGTAATTCTCATCTTGTGGAGTGTGGTTTAGACTGAGTTTTCGTGTCCTTACAGGTGCGATCGCTCGAGCAGCAGAACAAGCTACTGGAAACTGAGATTGAGGCCTACCAGAACCGGTTTGAGAAGCCTGTGGGTCTGCGCCTGCTCTATGAGGAACAGCTGAAAGAGCTGAAGAAGATTGCTGAACAAATGAGAGTTCAGAGGGTGAGACAAGAAATCTCCTGGATCCTGCCTCTGCTCTTCCTTTGCTTAGACACTCAAGAGGGCATTAAGTTTACACCTCACCGATCTGTAGAAGATCCACCCAAACAACAATACAAGACGTCAACTTGGTGTTTTCAAAGTTCTTTACCTGGTAACAAGCTCATTTCTGGCAGGCAATTTGAGGGGGATCCTGACCGTGTTTGGGTGTCACAGACTACAGCTGTTGTCAGATGTGTTTTATGCACAGATGAGATGACTTGATAATGCGCTGGCAGGCACACACACAAGAATGAAGCTGAAATATAAAATGCAAAAGGCTCAGCTAGATTTTGCGCACACCCTTGTGTTCACCTTCAAATCTAGCAGACAGGCGTGTTACTTATGCTTTCTTGGTTTTCAGGACATTTCCTTGGCGGCCAAAGACTCTGCAGCTGCTCAACTAAAGGCAATCAAAATCAAATATGAGGAGGCGGTGGAGCTGAGGAAGAAAGCCGAGTTAGACATTGAGGCCTTCCGTCCAGTGAGTGACATTAAATTAGCCACTGTCCTGGGTGTGAACGTCGCCTACACATTATTTCTCAGGGGCAGACGTACATGATAACACTTCTGTTTATTTTTCAGGATGTGGACAAAGCGACCTCCTCCCGCATTGCCTTGGAGAAGAAGCTGGAGCAGTTAGAGGTTGAAATTGAATTCCTCAAACGAATCCATCAGCAGGTGGGTGACATCTTTACGTAGGAATTAGCTATTCGAAGTTTGCCTTTTATTTTTAATGATTCCTAAAGGCCTCTCTCTCTTTTTTTTGGTTTAGGAAATTGATGAACTCATGAAACAGATCTACGCCGCTCACGTCTCAGCCCAGAGTGCGTTCACTCTGCCCGACTTGGCTGCTGCTTTGAAACAAATTCAAACCCAGTATGACGATATTGCAGCCAAAAATCTCCAGGTACAAAAATATCACACAAAACCACTTCCAGATGATGAAAAGTACACAGTTGAGTCTTCTATAACGCTATCATTCTCCACTGTTAGGAAATGGATTCGTGGTATAAAAACAAATTTGAAGATCTAACCAAGAAGACGTCGAGCCATGTTGATAAAGTTCGAAGCGTTAGAGAAGAAATAGCCGGTGCCAAAAAAGATGTGAGTATTACAAGTGAAAATTAATATGTAAGAACCGTTTATTAATATTGAGTTTCTATAATTGGGCTGAAACTGTCTCTAGATCCAAAGTAAAGAACGAGATTTGGATGCCATGCGGACCAGAAACGAGGCTCTTGAAGCTCAGATCCTTGAGACACAAGAGAAGTACAGAAAAGAACTGGAAGAACTGCAGGTAAATGTCAGCTCATGTTGTCCCAGGGTGCACACCTGATCCCACCAGAGTCAGTCATAAATACACACATGCTCTCACATTCATACATGCAAACACAAAGCCACTACAACAACACGTTCCTTTTATAACCCTGATTTCCTGATAGGCTCGGATTGAGGCCCTGCAGCTCGAGCTGAAATCCACCAAGGAGAAAATTGCGCTGCACCTGCGTGAGTACCAGGAGCTTCTGAATATCAAGATGGCTCTGGAGATTGAGATCACAACTTACAGGTAAGTGAAAATGATTTTAGGGTTGTGTCTTTGAGTGAATATTAATAAATTTGGTAATTTTTTGTTTTTTTCCTCTGCAGAAAATTGATCGAGGGCGAGGACCTGCGGCTTTCTGGCATGATGCAAACCTTATCTCTCACTAGCTGTAGCATGAGCGCCATTGGTGCCGGGATGAGCATCAGTGGAGGAGGCATGGGAGGGGCAGGTGGAATGGGTGGTGGACTGATAGGACGTGGTGGTGGTGGAGACATTGGGGGCAGAGTAGGAATGGGTGGGGGCATGGATGCAGGAGGCATGGGAACAGGTCCAGGAATTGCAGGTATAAGTGGAAGAATGGGTGCTGAGGGTACCAGTGGTAAAAAAGGTCCTGCTGGTACATCAGCTGGGGCAGACTTTACTGGTAGTCATGGATTAGGAGCTGGGGGTGTAGGTGTAGGTACTGAAGCTAATGGTGGGGTTGTGGGCAAAGGCAATGGCAGCAGACCAATGGGCACTGGAGGAACAAGTGGTTCTGGTGCTGGAGGTGTGGGAAACCTGGGATTTGGTACTGGAGGCAAGAGTGACAGCAGCATAGGTGGGACTGGAATGGGTGGAGGTGGTAAAACTGGAGGTTCAGGTGGGATGGGTGGAACCGGCACTGGGTTTGGTGGAGGAAATGGTGGTGTAGTTGTAGGAAAGAGTGGTGGACTTGCTGGAGGAATAAGTGAAGAGGGTAGTATAGCCCGTGGAATGGGTGGTGGAGTTGGAGGCAGTGGAGGAAGTGGGGCTGTGGGTAGTGACGATGCTGCTCTGTCAGCTGCTAGTGGCATGGGGAAGACAGGTGGAGGAAAGGGTGGCATTAGTGGCACAGGGACTACATATGGCTCAGATGGACATGATAAGAACATCGAGGCCTATGCAGAGCAGGCTGTGGAGCTGACGGAGAGGAGGACGGTGCTCATTAGGTAAACGTACCATCAGGTGTTTTTGCAGTTCTTTCAAACAGGACAAGCACTCACACCCAGAAAGTACAACCAAACACTACCCTTCATTAACAAACAATGACTTAACCTGGTCTGTGACAGAGTCGGGTGTGGTTTAACATGTTTGCTTCAGTCACTGTGTCTCTCTGTCTCTCTACAGAACAGTCAAAAATGAGGATGATGTGCTGGAAATGGACCACCAAGAACAGACCTACACCATCACCGGAGCGGCCGATGAGTCGGACAACGAGTGAGCAACACGAATTCCCAAGTGACCTCCTCTCACCCTTAAACCTCCACGCCCCTCTGAGCTTTGCACTGACCAAGCCCCATGTCTGGACACTGACCTTTGCCCTTTTGCCCCAGACAAGAAGACCATGACTGACCCTTTTGCTTCAAATCAGGGGCTTTAACTATGCCTCACTAGACAACTCAACATATTCTCTAAACTTTTGTGACCCCCCGACCCCTTTTTTTTTCTAAATGCCGCAAATAAAGCTATCAGCATTGAATTACCTTGTTGCTCTTTTATTTCGTGTCCTTTTGAGGAGTTTATATGAGGATAGAGAACGTCATTCAGCAATAATTCAATGCTGGTTAAACCTCATGTTTTGCTTAGCACAAAGAAATGCTCCTTAGAATCCTGGCTTTGGATTGAAATGATGCAGAGTGAAAAATGGGAAAAGGAAGTCATGAGGGAACAGCAAAACAGAGAAAGAGAGGGGGAGAGGGACAGAGTCACCTGAGGGTCGAGATGGTTGCCCTGACACTTTCTGCAGGGCTGAGGAATCCGTCAGTCAAATGCGGTCCTGCAGCAGAGTGACGGCACACAGCCGTTTCCTGTCCTCATTCCATCCATTTCCACACCTTTTCCCACTGCTGCTGATCGGGAGAGATTGGATGTGGCCAGCAGATGCCAAACACGCTCAGTGTCCTGCTCAGGGGCAGAGAGTGAAGACATGCAACACACCAATCCTGAGACAGAAAGCGCAACAAAGACTGGAGCAGAACCGGTGGTCCGGTGCTGTCACGGCAGCAGTAACATTACTGTGCCATTATTGTTATAATTTGGCACATCTCAGGAAAGATAGCAAATAAATAAATAAAACAAATAATTATCGGTGGATGGAAACCCAGAAAGGCTTCCTCAGTTCAACGTAATAAGGCTTCAATGGAACTTTTAGTTGTTTGATGGAAGATTTTTTGATGTTTCATTGGCAGCTTTAGAGTGGATATATGTCAATAAACAATTATTATTATTTTTTCTGAGTAAATAACTTAAAAAGGAAAACCAGCAACAGTGATACACGTGGGATAAATATGAGTGAGTTAATTAAAAGATCAATAAATACATTTTAAAATAGCAAAAACAGTCAAAGCAAAACAAAGAAAAAGGGGAAAAAGAAGAGAGAAGAAAATGAGTAAATTAGACTTAGTCAAGTATTTTAGTGTGTAACCCCGTATTTCTTGCTGCACAAATTATTTATCTGAATAATATGCACTGATTTCATTTTAAACTCACGTCATTTTCACGAGCTCAGCCCACTCAAACACGCAGGAGAAATTAGTTTAAACCCGAAGCTGTCCATCGAAAATATGACGCTCGTGTGAGAATGAAACAGGAAAGCATTTATTATCGATAGCCTCACTTTTTTTTTTTAATGTATGGAGCTCTCCATGGTGCTTCCGTCTTGACACTGAGAAAACTCACTGGGGGAAAAGTGAGTACATTTTTATTTAAATATAGATAAATAAATAAATAAATAAATATTCTGAATTCCACAGCATATAAAACTAACAGGCAAAATTAGCTCCTTTAAAATAAAAGTTTTTTTTTTTAAAAAACCCTCAAAGACAGTGTACCTGATCATTGATATTATTTTTATTGCTTATGATTATTATTAGTTGCAGTTTCCTTTTAGAATGGAAAAGATACAAGACTGAATTAAGTGCTGTTTTTTAAAAAAAATTCTTTTAACGTTTAACTTGTCGCAGAAAATGTTAGAAAATATTGACCTCCTTGTTGAGACAATAACCGTGAAGTTCGCTAAAAATGTCTAACCATATTCAGCCATGCAGGCGAGTCAAGGTATCATGTCTTTAAGCATGCTCTTTGCCTTCATATTTGTTTGTCTCACATTGCCAGCTTGCAGAGACAAACCCGCCGAAGTGGGTCACTAACCTTCATCCTGGGAGAAAAATGCGTTTTTGCTCGGGGCGAGGGAAAGAGCTCCTCAGATTCACCGAGAAGGGCAAAAGTTGCGACTTTCTTTGAAGCCGGTGATTCTCTGTCACTTCGGCGCATATGCTTTGGGTGGCTAAATCCCAATTAGGGTCGGCTGACACGCTGCTCTATTCACGGGCGACCCTGCCTGCATACATTTGCCTAGGAATGAACTCCTCAAATAGATCTGCTGCTAAATGCGCCGGACAGCAGAGAAAATCGGCCTGAGTGACACTTTCTTTCTGAGGCGGTCGAGTGAGAAAAGGTATGAATTTATAAGGTACACCGAAACATATCAATTCACGGAACTTCACGCGCCTTTATCCGCGTCTTCTCACGCGAGACAAAGTGAGTTGAAGTCAGGGAAAAGTGGCCTTCCAAAAAAAAAAAAACTTTGTTGAGACTTTGAATACCAAAACGCTGCAGCCCACTTTTGAGTAGGGATTTTTTGAATGCAATCACGCATGAACGACGCTGAATCGGATACCATTTATTCGGCTCCTCTCTAATGCGATTTTGAATATTAGTCTGGGTTAAAATCCCAATCATGTCATCTGGTGGGAGTCCCATACAAGCACAATTACTATTCAAACGCGTCTCAAATGTCCCACCCGCATCAAGGCAGCTGGTCTGCCCACGGTGCAGCTTGCATCTTTCCCCAGGTTTCTCAGAGTGTGAAACACCTTATAGATGAGCAGGGGAGGGTGTTTCTGCAAAAGCAAAGAAAAGCACGGAGAAGATGGACGGTCTGCTCTGAGAGCAGGCACGAATCTGAAAGGAATAATAATGATTGTTTTGCTGGGTGGGATTCGAAGGGGCCAGAGAGCCATACGCGCGAGGATTTCAGTTTTCTTTCTTTCTTTCGTCTTCTCCTTTTTTTTCTTGAATCAAAATTTAAGTGTGACCGACTGAATGCGAGAGGTGGGCTACACAAGATGTGCTGGCTTACACGCGGAGAAATAAATGGATTTAGAGGAAAACAAAGTCATTTCTAAAACGTGGGAATCTGTGAGAAATAGGCCACATTGCTAAGTGGGACAATGATTGGGCTCTCTCCCCCCTCCCTCCCCTGAATAGACCCAAAGAAAGTTTATGGGTCGACATAAAAAATGTGTTTTCTTCTGCACTCAGAGGGGTCTTCAATGGTTAGGCCATTGAAACCAGTCCAGGAGAGGTGGTGGTGAACCCTTGGCACCCCTGAAGTATAGTCAGGGCGCATGAATGGAGATCCCTGGTGGGGCATTGCTCTCCGTATTTACCGCGTTGCTTTGCAGACAGGTTGTTCCTCTATATTCATGGGTCATTAATGGCCAACCAGTTAAATCAGAGAGAGCCCCACCGTTTAGACAGTTTTAATCCAAAAAAGGCTGGCAAGAGGCAGGCAGAGAGGGCCATAAAAAAGAAGAGAAAAACCCGACTCCCACCTCTTCCGAGCACCAATTCTTCTCAGGTCGTTATTTAAGTTTATTAAAGAGAAGAAGAGTTCATTAAAAACAAAGAGCACTCGCAGAATCCGCAATAGTTTCTGAATAACCATCCAACTATGTAATTAATGTTTTTCTTAAAAAAAAAATAGAAAAAAAAAGAATAGGAGGAGGCACAATAAGGCCGCTCCAGCCATTTAATTTCATTTAATTTTCCATCCCATTTGCCTCCAACACTGCCGTCACTCTGACACCGAGCCTTTTGACCACTCTTCATGGCTTCAGAGCGCACAGCGGAGCCGGGATTCACCCTGGCGACTTTTTCCGCTAACAGAAAGGAAAGTCTTCCCCTGTTTTTTTCTTCTTTTTCTTTCCTCCTTTCATTCACCCCACCTCCTCCTCAGAGAATAATTAATTTCACTGTGGAGAAGTGCGGGCCTTTAAAGCAAAGCAGGGGTGGATGGGAACCAGTCGCAAATGGCGAGGCGTTAATAAATAACTCCCCGGCACAGCCGGGCGCAAAAACATTGACAAGATTGTTCGCGTGTAGTTCAGGACTGTGGAGGAGCGCAGGGAGGTGGGGGCGAAGGGGGATAATAGTACCTGAAATAGTTTATTTTCATTTTGTGTGAAATTGTTTATTTTCATTTTGTGTGAAATAGTTTATTTTCATTTTGTGGAGAGATAACTGACGGAAATGCACTAATGAAGTGCTTTTATTTCATTTTATTTTTTAAATTGTTGTTGTTATTATTATTATTATTATTATTATTATTATTATTATT